AAAGCTCAGTCTGGCTCTCAGATAACAATAATAATCTTACAAAGGCAGGGAAATCACATAGGAAAAATTGACCAGTCTTACAGCTTGCTTCCCTCGCCCCACCCCCACAAAAGTGGATGAAAGGATATCACCTGTCCTTAAAAGAGTAGCTAGTTACGTTCTGCTGGCTGGCTGACAAGCATAAATGAAATACCTGTGCAAAGCCATATTCACCAAAGGTCCATGATGCCCAGATTTAGGATTCAGTGATTTCTGAGGCACCATTTTGGAGATACATGATACACGCAGAGACACATGTGCAGGAGACATAACATGGCGAATAGTTAACCAAGAGTACCAGAGGCATATTTAGTTTACATGTTTAGCAGCAGCCATCCTAGTAAACAACTTAAGTCAGGATCTTCAACTGGTTCTATGCACAGCAGAAGAGTTTTGTGCTGGGTGCCTGGAGAAGGAAGGGGGAAGAAAAAAATTGTCCCAGTGGGCAGGAGGAGAAACTACAGAGACAACTCTGTGACATTATAGGGGGCATGATGGAAGTACAGGAACCCTTTGATCTTTGAGCTGTTCCCCCATTGCTACTAAATGCTACACTGGAGCTACAAGATTAAGATTATAGGTGCTGCACAAAATTGTAGGGCCCATGGTGTTCTTTGAGTTCATAAAGATGCCCACATATGTGTGCCACTTCCTTTCCATCTCCTAATACAAATTTCTCTAATTAGAGATAACTGGGAGGTGGAATCCGTTACCTAGACAAAACCTACAGCTAATTTAGAAATGTTTTTCTTGTCTTTAACTTTTATAATCTGAATCTATAATCTTCAGATTTTTTATTTTGTTTTGCCATTTCTGATAGAACAATGCTAAATTCTTAGTCTGATTCTAAGCAATCATGTTTTTGTAGCAAACTTTGATCAACACTGTATTTTTCAGTTGATCGAGTTACTGTATAAATTGGCACATTGAGGGGTAGTCTGCCCACCTAACTTAACCCTGCTCTTCAAAAATATTTCTTTTGTGATATACAGTGCACCCAACAATTGATTAGGTATTACCTGCCTATCATCCAGATGGGAAAAAACTATCAAATCATATCCTGTTGGAAATCAACAGTACTATTTGCTTCTAAGAGTGCTTGCTTTTTTCTAAAACAAATGTTGAGTTTTTCACTAATAAAACTTTAGGAATTTCAATATTTCAGTATTCATAATCAGAAATTTTGCCTATAAGTCTGTTAAACATCTCTGTCATGTCTGTGTACAACACTATCTTAAGGACAGTCCTTGATTCCTGTTTCCCTGGTGTTCCCTTTTTGAGGAGTTCATCAGTCTGTATATTGGTAACCATAGTAGCTTTGCTGAAGGTATGACTGCAATTTTGTGAAATTGTTTGGAAAGTTAACACTAACAATTTTAACTCAGTAGAACAACTTAAGAGCACGATATTGGGAAAATATGGTGATATTTATCGAGGTCATTTGCTAGCTACACTACTAATGTACAAAAAAGAACATACAAACAAAATATATGGCACATTTTACTTACAGGTAGAAAGAATCATAGTTGATTGTTTGCTTGTATTCAAATAAAAATTTGATCCTTCCTTCAGTTGTGTTGATAACAGTAAAACCTCTCTAACTGAAAATCTAGCTCAGATAAGCAGTACGGTATAGCACAGACCAAATTTAACCCCACCTACTTTCCTATTAAAAAAAAAAAGTTAGAGACTTGATACTAAACTTGCATCAGGAGTATTTCCACTGAAGTCTGGTGCTCTACAGCAGAATAACTGAATTGAAATCTAGGTGTCTGTTCTACTTTAAAACAAGTCTGAGACTAGAAAGAATAGTAGATGTTTGGTGTAATTCAGGCAGATTTTCTGTGCTGCGCTTATTGTTATGTGAAACTAAGTTATACCAATAAAAAGAGTAAGAAAGAAGTGTCTGAAGAGTGATTGACCTTCTCCAGAGAAAATTATAAAATATCATTTACAGATTTCTCTTCAGACTATTCAAAAGTTGAACACAGCAGCCAACTCTAATGATAAGATGACCCAATACAAAATTAACAATTCGGAGCCTAGACTATGTTTAAATTGAGTGTGTTGATGGAGGACAGCACTGGAATTCAGTCTTCACATTTTAGATGAACTTCAATAAAAATACATATTGAAAAGTATGTTAAAATAACATAACTTTAATTGCAAAGTCACACATCAAAAGTTAGGAAATGCCAGATTAACAGTTGCCAGTGAAACCTTGAATCTATTCCTTTGTGTCCATACTTTGCATTGAATTTGGCAGGGATCCTATGGGAAAAAATGTATGTGATCGTGTAATTAAAAACTATAAAAAACCTGACCAAAATACAGAGCTTCTGGTGTTTTGATATTTCAAAATTTCCTCCAAAATGGAAATTCCATATAATTTTCATTTAGAAAATAGACACATGGTATTTCTGAATTGAATCACAGAAATATGGAAATGGAAGGAGTCCTTGAGACATCATCTAGTTCAACCCCCTGCAGTGAGGCATGACTAAATATAGGTAGAAGATTTCTGGCAGGCATTTGTTTGCTCTCTTCTTAAAAGCCTGCAAAGACAGGGATTCTGTAATTTCTCCTTAACATGTTATCAGGTCTCGTCTCCCTCTCATCCTTTTCTTAAGACTACACATACCCAGTTTTTGTAATCTTTCCTTATAGATCAGATTTTCGAAAAGTCTTTAGTCCGTTTGTCCACATTTTGGCTCTCCCCTGGACTCTCTTCACTTTGTCCAAACATTTCTTTAATTGTATCATCCAGAACCAGATATGTTACTATAGTAGAGGCATTACCATTGCCAAGTAGAGTGGAACCACTGCTAATTTCTTACATGTGACTCGCCTGTTAATGTACCCTAGAATGATGATATGAAATATGTTTCCAGGAGCATGGCAGATGCTAAATGAAATTGTCATGATTCTTCTCAGTTTTACAGCTACTATTCTGTGTTGAATGGCCCTAACACTTCCAAGAAGAAAGTACATTTGAGTCAGCAGCTGCCAGAGCCTTTATCCAAGGTCTGTGGCTCAAGGGCTGTCCAGTGCCCGGGCAACTGCTTCACTAGGCAGTGGGACAGTATGTGTGTGTGTGTGGGGGGGCACTCTGCCTGGTGGGTAGCCCTGAAATTGTAAACCCTGGAAGTTCTGGGGTTCCCTCACCTTGAGGCTGTCCATATGGCATAGCTACCTCAGAGCAGTGGCTCCTGGAGGCCTTATAGATCATGGAGAGTGAATTGAATCCAATATGTTTCCACAAAACATTTTGGGTTTGATGATTTGGCATTATCTGACAAGTCACTGTTTTGCTGAAATTCCCCAACAACTGTAATTCTGTGCTAACTAAATCTAGCATTTCCCAACTTTCACATGCTTGACTTTGCAATCCAAACAACTTTACATATAAAACTTGATATTTTGTATGCAATTTCCTAGGTTGTTTTTTAAAAGGAAAGTATTACTATAACAACTCCCTTATCACGCATCATCAGAAAGGTCTGAGCCCTGTAACAGGGTGTTTTGCCTTCATGGGCTGGAGAGCATGGAGCTTATCCAGCCCTGATAGAGGATGAGGTGCTGGAGATGAATCAGGTAATTGTGTTTAAAAGGAGTAGGAAGTTGCCGTGAAGAATGGCGGACAGTTTAGGAAGCTGAGTCAGTCTGCAAGCTCTCTGAACAGGAAAGGGAACTGCAAAACTCTGCAGGCAGAGAGGTCTGGAGGTCTTTTGATCAAGCAGGGAGAACTACAGAGGCTCCATTCAGGAACACCTGGAAGAAGAAAGAGAAACCTTGGATTGTGTGAATATATAAATTGACCTTATTTGGAGAACTTTGAGTTTTATTTACAGTTTGTTTTGTATTAATAAACCCAGTACACCAAGAGGGCTATTAAGTGTGGGGAAAGGGCTTGCCCACTACCCAGTATATCCGGTGGAGCTCTTAGTAGTAGGGACAGGAGTGTGGTCCTGCCCCGGAGAGAGTGCTGCGTTCTCTGGCCCAGGTGTACCCTTGCCGGAGCTCCTTGACCTTGCTCCAAACTTGGTCAAGGGTGCAGGGGTGGTGTCCCGTGGGCCAGACCTTCGGCCATGCACCCATAAATGTCTGCGTTGCGGTGCTTGGAGCTGAGATCCTTCAGGGCCTCCTCTTCCCCCCACAGCTCAGGAGGGACAGGGTCTCTGGCCCGGTCCAGGAAGGCGCCTGGTATTTGGTGCCCCCGGGTGGGTCCTGGGATCTCTGGTGTGGCTCCTTGTGCAGGCCAGGTGGGTTTCGGGGAGCTTGTGGCTCTGCCACTTGTCAGCAGGCCTGTGGCAGTCACAGCCATGCAGTCAAGGTCCTGCTGCAAGGCCGGCTTCCTGCCACAAGGCTTGTCCCGGGTGCCTGCAGCTTTAAGAGCTGGAAGGAGACAGGAACTCTGGAGTTGTGATTAGTGTGGACGGAGTGTGATTAGTGTGGACGGAGTTCCCAAAAAAACTCTGTGGTCTAGATGCACCCCAAGTGATTTCAATAGAAAAGACTGCCGTGTTAGGTCCTAGTTAATAATCCCCATCAATTTCTCACCTTGTATGCATATTATAGTTCATTTACACATGGGGGCCTTTGGTGAGGGTTAAGAGAGCTCAATGCTATATAAGTAGTGCTCAGCATTTTTTGTGATCAGACCCATTCTGCAATGGTAAACTCCATCCCATATCAGCAGGACATCTACTGTAATCCTCACTTTTATTCATATAAAATTTCTAAATATGTCACATATTTCATATTGTGGCTCAGAGCTGTATGTATTGTACATACGCATCCTCTGACATTGAATCCTAATGTAAGCACTTAACACACATACCTGAAGATGTTCAGTCCTACATCTTTGATGTAAATCCATGAAAGTCAATAGTTCTGCCAGCAATATATTTGGCCAATAAATCATTTTCTGACAATAAATCAATGGCAAACTGCTATTCCAGATTCCAAACAATTAACATGTGGTTTATTATACACATACTGTAGTATGACATTTGCTATACAATCTATAAAGCTTATTTCATTGTGCACAACTGATGACCGATAGAATGATAGAAATCTGCCATTTTATCAACATTCATGGTATATTTTCTTTCATCCAGAGATACCATATATCACACTATTTGTGTAACCTAAAATAGAGCAACTTGTGTTTTAACATTTTCAGGAACACTTACATTTCATATAAATAGATGTGTACATTATACATTTATAGTACAAAGAGTATATAAATTATTTAATAGTTAAAGTCAATGTGATATAGTTCACTGAAAGTCAGCTGTGATGTATAGTTCGTGCTGTTCATCACTATAATTGGGCTCAGGACTGGGCCCCAGTGCTCTTTGGGTGAAAAAGTCCCAAGAAACAGTCCCTGGCATAAAATAAATTAGGACTCAGTCCCACAGAGAGGACTTTCAGTGCCACAGAGAGGACTTTCGGTGCTGCACTTGAGCCATTGGTCTACGCTGTTGACCATGGTACTTTGCTACGCACAAAGAAAAGTAAATTGAGGGGAGTGTGTAAAACAGACTAACAGCATAGCAAGAATATTGGCCCTAGTATATGGCATAAATCACCAGTCAACAGACTGTGAGGAAATAATAATTTAGAACCTTTGGAAGCATTGCTATAGGAGTAGGTGGCCCTCACCAAATGACCTTGCTTTTAGGTTTTAAGCACAGCTTTTAAATGCACAATTGACTATTACTACTACTGACTGGCAGTAAGAGTAAATGAAACTCATAAGCATGAACACTAAATGCATCACTTGCACAGGATTGCACTTAGTGTTTGTGCTTTGGCCATATCCTGTCATTTGCTCCATGCATCAATCCCAACCTTTTACTAATCTCATGGTGACTCCTCTGATGGAGCTTAGGAGTGTTCTTACATTGATTAACATGGGCAATAGATAATAGGAAAGACTAAGCCTCCATAAACCTCTGCCAATGCTTCCTGCCACAGCCCCAAGGTTGGACTGCATCAGACTGAAAGCTCTTCTGAGCAGTCTGGACTCAGATTGACTGAGGTTCAGGGCTCCTCAGGAATACTCGGGGCACTGGTGGGCTGGCCAAGATATGGGGCTGCTAGGGGCACTTGCAGGCTGGCCCAGGCTTTGGGATGCTCTGGGCACCACCCAGGGCTTGGAGCTATGTTGGCAGGCCAGTCAGTGAGAGCAAGGGATGGGGCAGGGTCTTTGGCAGAAGAGGTTGGGTGCAGGAGCTACCTTCCCCAGTTGGGGGCTGCATGCATTGCTCAGGTTGGTGAATATATTGTGCATCTTTCTCTACAATGCATAATCATTTTTCCATGTGTCTGTTGAGAAAATGCTAAATGATAATGCTTAGGCTCGCCACATTTCATTCAGCATACTCAAAATCTTGCACGATGATGCTCAAAGAATAATTCTGTGTCTTTACAACGTTTATTCTTTGTTGTACTGTAGAATTCTTGTGCCTCTGTTCCTCTCTTCAGAAAGCATCTTCACTCTCCGCTATCTCATCAATTGTACGCAGCAAATCTTCAAATGTGGGCCGTCCCTCAGGTTTCTATGAATTAAAATACTTCAGTTGTACTAAAATCACATCAGAAAGAGTTTATTTTGCTAAGGCAATAATGTGCACAAAATAAAATATAAGGGAAAATGTGGATGTAAAGAAAAATATGCTGTTACATTTAAGTAGGTTAGAGGCATTGGAAAGAAACATGACAGGTAAATTTCTCTTAACCCAAAGTATTGCTAGTCATGAAATGAGGTTGTGTACTATATTATTTCCTATTAATCTAAAATGTATTCAGAACCTCACACATTGCTGAAAATGCTACACAGTGTGATTTTTCTTAATAGATTTTGAGGTGGAAGGAGCATAGGAATTACCATATTGAATTAGACTCAAGATCCATTTAAGCTAGTGGCCTATACTTGACAGTACTCTTGCACTAGATGCTTCAGAGGAAGGTGCCAGAGCCTTCTCATTAAGTGAAAGTGATAATTTGCTCCTCCCCTGACATTATATCTCCTCATAACCCCTTAGAGTACATCTACACTATAGAGGAAGATTGAAGCGGCCACTGTGGATCTTCCAGGGTTTGATTTAGTGGGTCTAGTTAAGACAGCTAATTCGAACTGAGAGAGGCGCTCCAGTCGTTGCTGGTAGTCCTGCTTTCACAAGGAGTAAGGGAAATCAACAGGAGAGTGGTCTCCCTTTGACTTCCCGTAGTGTAGATAGCGCCAAAAGCCGAGATAAGGTACTTTGACTTCAGCTATGCAATTAACGTAGTATCTTAATACTAAGAAGTTGAGAATCTTAATTTGACTTAATTAACAGGAATGTTGTGAGCAAGACATGAGAAATCATTCTTCTGCTCTACTCTGCATTGATTAGACTTCAATTGGTGTTTGTGTCCAGTTCTGGGCACTACATTTCAAGAAACATGTGCAGAAATTGGAGAAGGTTCAGAGAAGAGCAACAAAAATGATTAAAGGTCTAGAAAACATGAACAATGAGGGAAAACTGAAAGAAATGGGCTTGTTTAGTTTAAACAAGAGAAGACTGAGGGGACAAGATAGCTGTTTTCTAGTATCTAAAGGGGTGTCACAAGGAGGAGGGAGAAAAATCGTTCTCTTTGGCCTCTGATGATAGGACAAGAATCAATGGGCTTAAACTGCAGCAAGGGAGGTTTAGGTTGGACATTAGGAAAAACTTCCTGTCAGGGTGGTTAAGCACTGGAATAAATTGCCTACAGGGGTTGTGGAATCTCCATTACTGGAGATATTTAAGAACAGGTTAGACAAACACATGCAAGGATGATCTAGACAGTGCTTGGTCCTGCCATGAGAGCAGGGAACTGGACTCAATGACCTCTTGGGGTCCCTTCCGATTCTATGACTTTGTCCAGTAGTGTAAATGTACTCTCAGAGATTTTCCTGAACTCTGAGCCATAAAGTTTAACATCTCTTCTGAAATTTGTTAGCCCCATGTTCTTTTATTATTAGGCAGCAAAAATAAAAGACCTTGACCTAACTTTTCTATGAATTATTTTATGTCCAGCAAATCGACTAACTCTTTATTACGATTCTTGACTCGGATGTGCTTGAAGAATGCTTAATGACTTTTTAAAATACCTTTTGCTCATTGATATTGAAAAGCATTTTGTTCAGTTTTGCTGCCTCTGATCTTCTCCAGCATTATACACCCAATATTCTTTTCTTGATCCCGAGATTGTTTGTATAGGCAGACTAATATATTGGTATTCTTACAGCTTGGGATTTATATCCATAGATTCAATTGCATGGTCCTCTCACTGGATTCCATGGAATATTTTGCATTCAGCACTACTCCCTCGCCACTTCAGCCTTGTCTATCTTTCTATATAGTTTGTAGCCAGGTACTACAAAATTCCATTGATTTTTGTCATTCTACTATGTTTCTGTAATGCCTGTTACACCAAATCCTCTTCTGTTGTGAGGCATTCTAATTCAACTAATTTTGCTTTGAGGCTTTTTGTATTTGGATTTTGCAATTTTTACTAGCTGCCTGTTGTTGTTTAATTCCTTGCACTGACACACTGCTGATTTTATAGATGTTTCCCCTGTGGTCTTTTCTTATCCCTGCTCTAGATCAACTATAAAGAAATCTTTTCCCCTAAGAAATAAACATCAAGGCTGTGTCTAGACGGGCAAGTTTTTCTGGAAAATCAGCTGCTTTTCCGGAAAAACTTGCCAGCTGTCTACACTGGCCGCTTGAATTTCCGGAAAAGCACTGACGATCTCATGTAAGATCGCCAGTGATTTTCCGGAAATACTATGCTGCTTCCGTTCGGGCAAAAGTCTTTTTCCGAAAGACTTTTGCGCAAAAGGGCCAGTGTAGACAGCACAGTACTGTTTTCCGCAAAAAAGCCCGGATCGCAAAAATGGCTATCGGGGCTTTTTTGCGGAAAAGCGCGTCTATATTGGCCACGGACGCTTTTCTGCAAAAAGTGCTTTTCCGGAAAAGCGCCCTGCCAATCTAGACGCGCTTTTCTGAAAATGCTTTTAACAGAAAACTTTTCCATTAAAAGCATTTCCGGAAAATTATGCCAGTGTAGACGTAGCCGAAAAGTTGAGAGAGAGAAATAGCTCAGAAAGTCATAAGAGTAATATTAAAAATTACCAGATCACAGCGCCTAGTCCTGCTCACACTGAAATCAATGGCAAAATTCTCATGGATTTCAGTGAGAGCACAATTTGGCCCATAGTCAATGAAAGAGAAAGTCTTCTATTCTCATTGTGGGGTGATTTCAAGAATGTGTGTGATCAGTTGATATAGAAGATCCAAACATAGGGCTCTAATGCCTTTAACCCCTCTTTGTGGAGCATCATATCTTTTACATTACAACATTTAATTCTGTTCCTATTTATAATTACTTCCTATGTTTCTCTCTGTTCTCATTGGTACCATTACTGACATGTTTTCACTGCTCTCTGTTAATAGCTGCATGTTATTTTTTTCTCCTCGCCTTTTTAATTGTATTTCCTTATCTGTATAACTACCTCTGGGTATCTTTCAAAGTGCTCATACGTGATCACTCAGATACCTAACTATTCATCCTCCATGCAAATCATGGCCACTAAAACAATCTTATTCCCCATTGGATCACTTCATGTCACCCTGTCCTTTTGTCTTTTTCCATTGGTTCCTCCTTCGAAATTCATCAACTTTTAAAACTCATCTAAGAATATACAAAATTCCATCCTGGCCTAGATTTCAGATCTTATCGCTTAGCATTTTCTGCCCATGCTGGTCCATCAACCATAGCAGCTTAGCTGCCTTGTTCATTTTCTTTTTCCTCATGTTTTTTTTCACAGTGTCTGATTCATGGAATACCCTGCCCATTCTGATTCACCAAGACACTATTCTCTCCATTTTCATGTTCCCCTGAAGGTCTTGGAGGGATACTCAGGCTACCCCATGTTTGAGAAAGGTAGCTTTTGAATAAAATGCAATCAGAATTTTACACCGATAATTAGATGTGGTAATAAAACTCTGCTTTTAGGGGGTAAATAAAGTACAGAAAAAGAAATATACCTCCTGCCAGCACATCATCATTACATCATAGACATTCTTGCAAGCTAATTTTGGCCGATACAGACGCTGTCCTTGGCTAACCATAGTTACCACTTCATAATTTGTGTTTTTCTCAAAGGGCATTTTTCCCTCAGTAAATACTTCCCACATTAGAACACCTGGAAAATAAAAGGCATGAATAGATTGTCAAGTCAATTAACAAATATTTTGTTAAAATGTATGTGTGCCACTAATTATGCATTTGTTTTTTCAAATGGTAAATGAGTTAATTAAGGACCCTACCCTGAAAAAGCTCAATACTCAGTGGGCCTAATTCACCTAACATCTTTGTAAATAAGAAGTTACTCCACTGACTTGATTGAAATTACACAAGGGAAAACTGGGACAAATGAGAGAAGGGTCAGGAGCAATGACTTAATGGAACAACCCCTAGGAGGCTTGGATTCTCCTTGAACAGTTGGACCCTAATAACTTATTGGTAAATTGAAAAGATAAATTTCTTATTTAATTGCTGAAGAGTTTCTTACCAAATGACCAGACATCTGATTTGCTGCTGAATCGGCTATAATTAAAAACCTCTGGGGGACACCACTTTACTGGAAATTTAGCACCTGAAGAGCTTGTGTACTGGTCATCAAGGACATACCTAAAAAACAAAAGCATGTAATATTTCTAGTCTGATTCCCTTTCAGAAATCGCCATTTATTTCATGTTAGTTTTATTTTAGGAGCTCACATTGCCACCTAGTGCTTAATGATTGTTAGTATCATAAAGTGTCCATGGCTTCAGTAGTAGTTATAAGTATTTTTTTAAAAAATATTGTAATGAATTGCACTATTCACCACACTGTTAATAATAGAATACCATTTAGTTAATTATTTTGGTGCTTTCTTCATTTTCCTATATATTGATTTCAATTACAACAGAGAATACAAAGTGTACATTGTTCACTTTATATTTATTGTTGATTACAAATACTTCTTTTGTAAAAAACCAAGAATTCAAATACTGTAGCACAATATCTTTATCATGAAAGTTTCACTTACAAATGTAGAATTATGTACAAAAATAATTGCACTGAAAAATAAAACAACGTAAAACCTTAGACCCTACAAGCCTACTCAATCCTGTTTCTTATTCAGTCAATCACTCAGACAAACAAGTTTCTTTACATTTGCATCTGGCATTGCAAGATATTTACAAGACAGATGCATTAAAGATTCATATGTTCTTTCATGCTTCAACCACAGGACATGTGTCTATGCTGATGATGGGTTCTATTTGATTACAATCCAAAGCAATGCAAACCCACAAATGTTCATTTAATCATCTGAGTCAGATGTCCCCAAGACCAGGTTAATTTTCTTTTTTGCTGGTTCAGGTTCTATAGTTTTCCCAGTGTAGTGTTGCTCTTTTAACACCTGAAATCATGTTCCATACCTTGTCTCTCTCAGATTTTGGAAGGCACTTCAGATCCTTAAACCTTGGGTTAAGTGCTGTAGCTGTCTTTAGAAATCTCACACTGATATTTCCTTTGTATTTTGTCAAATCTGCAGCACAAGTGTTCTTAAAACGAACATATGCTAAGGCATCATCTGAGGCTTCCATGACTTGAAATATAAGTCAAAAGGGGGGCAAAACTGAGCTGGAGATATACAATTCTCCCCCAATGAGTTCATTAATACATATAATTAAGGCATTTTTTTAGCTAACATCCTCAGCATGGAAACATGGTCTCAGGAATGGTGTCCAAAGCAGGAAGGGACATATGAATGTTTAGCATATCTGTCATGTATATACACAGTAAAACTCCATTAGTCCGGCATCCAATGCTCCGGGACTCCTGATGGTCCAGCACCATCAGGAACCCGGAAGTGCTGGGGCAGCCGGACAGGATTCCCCATTTCAGCTGCTGCTGAAACTGACCAGCAGCTGAATCAGGGAAGCTGGGAGCAGAGCACCTGGGGTGCTGCCGGGTTGGTCTCGTAGCGCTGCCCCTCAGGGCTGTGGGACCAACCTGGCAGCACCCCACAC